TCATTTGGGTGATTCCGTATCACGTAGAATTGACTCGTTGAGTTGGTATCTCGTGAGGTTTGCTTGCAAGATTAATCTCAGCCGTCCAAAATCAATATAAATCCGTTCCCTCTTTTCAGTGGCATATTATTTCTTTTTAATATATGTCATCTACCAAATATAATCTAATCTTTTCCGGAGGTTGTTTTAATCTTTTATCTCAGTTATAAATCATTTGTAAACGGTTTAATTAATTTGGAATAGTCTTTTCTCTAATAGGTTTAATTGGAATTAAATATTGTAAGTTCATAATTAATTCATATGAAATCGGAATGAGGCCGTTCAAGTCTCATAATTCATCTAAAATCATGATCTACATGTTTATTTACTTTATATATATATATTGTTCATTTGGTTTTTATTAGTCTTTTTCCTCGTTTGCGTGTTAGCTTGTCGTTTTCGTCGTTTGGAAGGTTCGCGTGTGCGTCGGAAGTATTCAAGAAGATTAATTGAAGACTCATTATTGCAAGACAAGTCACACAGATCCCAAACATAATTCCTTTGAGCATGTTGATCCTATATTTAAATTCTCTATTTATTACAATTGTGCATTTGTTTTTGAATGTCACTGGGTGGTGTGGACTTATTCCTTTGTTATGGCCAATTTGCATTGATTACTCTATTCCTTGATACCTTGGGTTATTATAATTTGACTAGTTGAGCTTTATATATTGGTTCAGCTAGATGTTAGACATAATTGCTTAGCCATGCTTAGAAACATTAGCACACAATTGGGATAACTAATGTTTCACTATTACTTAATGATGGATATTTAATGATAGCTCATGATGGTTAATCGTGATTGGTTAATTAATTAATTTGCCAACTAAAACTTGATAATGGTGGGTTGTGAGCACATGGTTTTGATGGTCGTGCTCATGACAATTAAGGACCAGTTCACGAGTTTCGGTTGTGAAACATTAACCGTGCCAACCACAAGCCAGCATGGGCAACGGCTTTACCTTTTGTATAGCATGGTTCATTGCGGAGCACCAGACTGAGAAGTGGCGGAGATAAGCCCACGGGGGTCGCTGGGGAGTCCATGCCTTGTCTATAAGGGGGTGATTATGATCCAGGAACGGTGCACTGTGGTGGATTGTGTTATGCGAGGGGTACTGTCACAGCTCCTTTCCGAGGTACCGTGGTGGTATTGAGGCGCATGGTGACATGTTGTGGGGCTGTGTCTTGTGGGTACAGTGGTACACTTTTGGCCAGAGTAAAACTATTCGAATAGCCGTGCCCGCGGTTATGGGCGGGTCGAACAATGTCTTTCGTGATTAGTCTCACACTTCTCACCATAATAAATGATGCTATAATTGGTAATAATTTGATTAGCTCCTGGTTTGGAATGGTACATTCCTGGTTTGGAGATAGATCTGTACAGCCGGGTATGGTTGTTCAGGATGGTTGGGCCTGTGCAGCATGGGTGTGTTGTTCAATGTTGATTAATATTGATGATTAATTACTCTATTGTTTTACAATTCTCAAATGTTTGCTAAATGCTGCTTTTGCAAATGAGCCCTATATTATGCCATTCTTTGTATCCTTGTGCACTTGCATACTTGCTGTGTGGCTTGCTGAGTATGTCATATGCTCACCTTGCAATAATCAATCAAACCTTAGTTGAAGACAAGTTGCGAAGGAGAAGACGTTTGGTTTATACCCCAGTTGAGCTGCCTGTGGGAGTAGAGCCGGAGCTTCGCTAGACCATTATTCCGCTGCTGTTTTTCTTTTCTTTTGTAAGTATGTAACGTTATTATTATGATGAATCTGTATATTAAATTGTCAGTTTGTGTACCTCAGCTGATTCCTGGACGAGGATTTCATACACAAATTAGTTCGGAAATTACTAGTGAATTTTCGGGCGTGACACGCACGCTACCTGCTGCTCCTCTCTTCTCGCGTTGGTGACGGCATTGTTGCCACTGCTCCGTGCTCGTTGGAGAGAGAGAGATAGATGGGAGGGGAAGGAGGTGGAAGAAAGCAGAAGAGAGAAGATGCTGACAAGAGGGGCCCACTATTTTATTATTATTATGTTTGGTTGACTGGACTGCCACGTATGTGCCACGTGGGATCAAAACCGCTTCAAGCTGAGTTAGGGGGTAATTCATCCGGTTTGAAAAGTTCAGGGTTAAAAATGTCTGGTATTGTGATTTAGGGGGGTAGATCGGACGAGAGCAATAGTTGAGGGGGTAATTCGTACTTTTTCTTTTTTTTATCGAAGTTTATTTTTCAGACTTTGCTTTTAGATCACTAAGAACACATATATAAAAATTTTATTTACAAATTATTTTTCGTTTGCAAATATACTGCCAAACGATGGGCCGTAAGTTTGTTTGAAAAGGTTGAAAAGTAGAGGAAAAAGTACACCGAAGGTCCCTCAACTTGTCATCGAGTTACAAAATCATCCCCCAACCACAAAACCGGATATATTACATCTTTCAACTTATAAAACCGTTAACTTTTGGTCCTTCGATGGTTTATTTTGACTCCGGTTTTGTCCGACGAGGCGGCTGAGTCAATGTGGGCCCTACACGTTAGAGTGTCCACGTCAGCGTCTTCTTGAGGTCAGGGTGTCCGCCGACGCTCTGTTCATCCCCGTCCTCGTCCGCTGGCCGCACGCTCCCTCTCCTCCTCTTCCTCGCGGCCTTGCGCTCCTCGTTGGCCTCGCCTTCCTCTACCCATTCATGCCCATCTCTTGTGTGGTCGAGATCCGTCTCGACCGCTCCCGCGTCAACCCGCTGAGGTTGAAAACTGAGAAGGGAGGAGTAGGGGCGACATAGCAGCTCGGTGTGCGCTATGGATGGTGGCTGTGGCAGCTGCTCCATGTCTGCGTGCAGGTGACGTAAGCGCTGCTTTCCCCGACGCGACTGCTTGCACGGATCCGCGACGTGTACGTGGCCAGCATGCAAAACGAGGAATCTGATCATATTGCTCGTGGCGGAATCTGAACATGTTGCTTGATTTCGTTGGCTCACTGCTCATGTTGGTATTGGCATACCGCAATTACCGGCAGCAGCACCACTCCCTTGGCTCGCTGCCCGGCGGTGATGGAGGAGACGGCGACCTGGAGGTCCCCGTTGTGGGCGGCGCAGATCTCAGTACAAAGGTCATGGTGGCCAGATGATGAGTGTCCTGCACATCGATGTCGGCATGCTACCGAGCTCGCCTCCATGGATGCTAGCCTCCCGTGCTCCCAGCGACGGCGCTTGGTCCTAACGAGCCGCCGCTGTCGCGCCTGTTCCTGTCTCCTGCTGTTCCAGCTCCCGCCGAACCCAATCCCCTGCTGCTTCTGCTGTGTTGTCGGCGGCGGTGCGAGGATCATCACGACTGTTGCCTGGCGAGACGCTGCCCTACTGCCATCGACATCCCCGCGTTGAGCCCGGCGGAGCGCGGTGGAGGAAGCCGTCGCCGGTGATTCCGCTCAGCGGAAAGAGGCGAAGAAGAAGGCCACCACGGGCGGCGGAGGATGCGGACGCCGGCGTCGCCTTCATCGGCGCGTCCCCCCTGCCGCGCGCGCGGCGACCTCCTCCCTACTCGTCGGCCGCCCTGCCGCATGCCCAGATGAGAGAAAGAGGATGAAGCGAGAGGAGGGGAAATAATAGAGAGGTGATGAAGTGGCATCCTGGCATGTGGGGTCCACGCTGACTCAGCCGCCACGTCGGACAAAACCGGAGTCAAAATCATCGAAGGATCTAAAGGGAACGGTTTTGTAAGTTGAGAGATGTCCTATATTTGGTTTTGTGGTTGGGGGACGATTTTGTAACTCGATGACAAGTTGAGGGATCTTCGGTGTACTTTTTCCAAAAGTAAAAAGGTGACCAAATACATCTTATGGGCCACATCATAGCTGCCGCTCTACTGGGCTTTGCTGGACTCAGTCTCGGGCCGTATGCACAGCATCGAGGCCCAATCGACTCGGCAATAACGAAGGGAGCTCACACCCCCCACCGCAACCCTCCTCAGGCGCCGCCGCCATCGTCGTCGTCGCCGTCGCCGTCGCGGAGCCACGATTTGGCAGCCGCCGCGGGGGGGGGGGGTTCGGAGCATGGAGCGGCCGGCCGCGTCGCGGACTCCCCGAGGAAGGCATGCGGCGTGGCCTGCCTGGCGGAGCCGCCACAGGAGGCGGCATGGTGTGAGTGACGCCGGAGAGGCAAGGAAGGCAGCTCTTGCTCTCTGCCGGCACTCTGGAACTATTGCTTCGTGTGCTGTAACTACATTCCCTCGCTTCTTTTTTTATCTTTTGTTGATTTATTGAACTTTTCATACATCCGTAGCAACATTTATAGCTAGTAGTACAAATTATAGATGTTGTTATGGAAAGAGGAAGATAAGAGAATCTTATTAGGCGAAAATGGGGAATAATTGGATCAAGAAATTTTCATTGTTACGATTCTAAGGTAGCAAACTTGTCTAAAGTGGCCAGCTGAATATACTCCCTCCGTTTCGAAATGTTTGACGACGTTGACTTTTTATCACATGTTTGACCATTTGTTTTATTCAAAAAATTTAAGTAATTATTAATTCTTTTCATATCATTTGATTCATTGTTAAATATATTTTTATGTAGGCATATAATTTTACATATCTCACAAAAGTTTTTGAATAATACGAACGGTCAAACTTGTGCTAAAAAGTCAACGGTGTCAAACATTTCGAAACGGAGGGAGTATGATGTTTTTGTCATCCTGCAACCTTCACTAGAAACTTGAATTACAGCTGTATAATATATACTCCCTCCATATTTTAATGTATGACGCCGTTGACTTTTTAACTAACGTTTGACCACTCGTCTTATTTAAAAATTTTATGCAAATATAAAAATACTTATGTCATGCTTAAAGAACATTTGATGATAAATCAAGTCACAATAAAATAAATTATAATTGCATAAATTTTTTTTGAATAAGACGAAAGGTCAAACGTTTGTTAAAAAGTCAACGGCGTCATACATTAAAATAATACGGAGGGAGTATTGTATATAGGTTGGGAGCCGGATATTATGTTAGCATATCGTTCCAACAAAGACTCGGACTATTTTGGCTTCTATCATCAAATGCTATTGGCCAATGGATTAGTTTTACTGGCTTACCGAAGAAAGTCATCTCAGAAATCAAACATACGTCGGTGCTAGTCTCCGCTGCCCCTTTCTCTTGGTCCAACTTACATGTGATGTTTCAAGGAAGGTAGGCTAGAAGCCTAGAAGGTGGCCTTTGTGGTTAATGTGTTGTTTCATATCTCTTTCTCTTATCCTCAGTGAGCTTCAGAGTTTGTTTTTTTTCTGTCCTTGACATGGCCATTTTGTTAGAACTGCAGAGTTTCATACCTACTTCCTGATCGAAGCATCTTATCTCTAGCTGTCCCATAGAACTGCATAGCTTCTTAATTATATCTCCACCGCTCAAGCGCAAACATAGTTTCTCTGCAAGTCTCCGGTGTCTGTTGGTCCTGCTGCTAGATTTGGTGTTGCCCATATATGTCGGGAACTGCAGCTTGACTTCATCCTAAGCAGCAGGCGGGAGGATCTCTTAGCTGTTCTTGTGTAAGTACAATCATTGTTCTCCTCAGACTCGCCGCCAACCAATTTGATCCCTGTTTATGATAAGTTCTGCAAAAACTCTTACTTGCTTCAAGCCTCCTCTGAGGACCGACAGGCTACAGGGTGCACACCAAACCGCAAAAAGATGGAGGTTGCCATTGACTCAGCACGCTGGGTGGTTGACAAAGCACTAAGCCCGTTATCAGGGGGCTTGTTAGAGACATGGGCAGCAAGTTCTGAGCTTGGCGTGAACATCGATGCCATCAAGATGGAGCTGCTGTATGCCAAGGGGATGCTTGAGAATGCACAAGGCAGGGAGATCCGCAGCCAGGCGCTAAAGGAGTTGCTGTAGAAGCTACAACAGCTAGCGTTTGATGCCGATGATGTTCTGGATGAACTGGACTACTTCCGCATCCATGATGAGCTCAAAGGCACCTATGAGGCAGCTGATGTGGATGATGCAAGTTGCTTCCGTGGAATCCTTGTCAATTCTCGCCACACTGCTAAAGCTGTGGGTAAATCGCTCTCGTGCTTTCATACTGATGCTTACCATGGTGACCCAGATAACCCAAGAACTGAAGCAAGGCAGCATGTCCACATGCTTAGTAAGTGCCTTCCATGCTACTCTTGTCCACTTGTCCATGAAAATGATGCTGATGATGCAGTAAAATCACAAAAATGGTGGCAGAAGCACTGCGGTGCGTGTTGTTGCAGTCCAAATCCAGGGCGCGATCGTGCAAATGAAGCACCAATGCATAAGTTTGACAGGGTGGGAATATCAACAAGGATGAAGCATATCACGGAACAACTACAACCCATATGTGCTAAGGTCTCCGTCATTCTTAACATGGAGATGCTGGGTAGTAAAAGCAATACTCAGGACAGTACTACGAGCCAGCGAATAACCATCTCAGAAAGTGTTGATCCTAAGTTATATGGACGGAACAAGATGAAGGATAAAATTATACGTGATATAACAAACGGTATATACGCTGAACAGGACCTCTCTGTCTTGTCACTATTTGGTCCAGGTGGCATTGGGAAAACAACACTCGTGCAATACATATACAACAACCAAGAAGTGCATAGCCATTTCCAAGCAACGATTTGGGTATGTGTGTCCTTCAATTTCAATGTTTCAATGCTGATACAACAAATTAAGGATCAAATCCCTGAAGTTGATGGTGAAAATGGAACTGCTGAAGACCATATTGAACAAAGATTGAAATCTAAAAGATTTTTGCTGATCCTGGATGACATGTGGAAATGTGATGGTGAGGATATGTGGAAAAGGCTGTTAGTTCCTTTTAGAAAAAGCCAAGCTAAAGGTAATGTGGTTATAGTTACGACTCGATTTCCTGCTTTAGCTGAAATGGTTAATACAATGGACCACCCAATAGAGTTGGAACGTTTAGAACAAGAGGAGTTTATGCAATTGTTTGAAGCATGTGTTTTTGGTGAGGCAAAAGCACTGTCACGCCCGGAATTTCTATCCAAAATTCCAAACGCTTACATATGTGTGAACCCTCGTCCAGAAATCAGCCGAGGCTCACAATAACAAATTGATAATAGAGTACAATTATTACTCTAATTAATAAGCGAATAAAATGTCATTACAGAGGTAGATAGTTCCTCTCAATCAATAAAGATCTAAGCAGCGGAAAAAATAAGATAAACGGCGCAGACGACTCCACTCTACAGGCAGCTTGACCAGGGCTACACCTAATCCTCCACACCATCAGCATCATTGTAGAACTCTTCCTCTGATGAATGATTGCAAGGTGAGTATATGATATACTCAGCAAGCCACGCAGCAAATATGCAAGTGCACAAGGATACCAAAGAATGGCATAATATAGGGCTCATTTGCAAAAGCAGCATTTAGCAAACATTTGAGAATTATAAAACAGTAGAGTAATTAATCATCAATTTTAATCAACACTAAACAGCACACCCATGCTGCTCAGGCCCAACCATCCTGAACAACCATACCCGGCTGCACAGATCTATCTCCAAACCAGGAATATACCATTCCAAACCAGGAGCTAAACAAATTATTACCAGTTATAGCATCTTTTATTATGGTGAGAAGTGTGAAACTAATCACGAAAGACATTGTTAGACCCGCCCATAACCGCGGGCACGACTATTCGAATAGTTTTACTCTGGCCAGAGGTGTACCACTGTACCCACAAGACACAGCCCCACAACATGTCACCATGTGCCTCAATACCACCACGGTACCTCGGAAAGGAGCTGTGACAGTACCCCTTGCACAACACAATCCACCACAGCGCACCGTTCCTGGATCATAATCACCCCCTTATAAACAAGGCATGGATTCCCCAGCGACCCTCGTGGGCTTATCTCCGCCACTTCTCAGTCTGGTGCTCCGCAATGATCCATGCTATACAAAAGGTAAAGCCGTTGCCCACGCTGGCTTGTGGTTGGCACGGTTAATGTTTCACAACCGAAACTCGTGAACCGGTCCTTAATTGTCATGAGCACGACTCTCAAAACCATGTGCTCACAACCCACCATTATCAAGTTTTAGTTGGCAAGTAATTAATTAACCAATCACGATTGACCATCGTGAACTATCATTAAGCCATCCTTAAATAATAGTGAGTCATAAGTTATCCCAATAGTGTGCTAATGTTTCTAAGCATGGCTAAGCAATCATATCTAATATCTAGCTGAACCAATATATAAAGCTCAACTAGTCAAGTTATAATAACCCAAGGTATCAAGGAATAAAGTAATCAAGAACAAAAGGGCTATAACAAACAATAGGTTAATTCCATCCAATGGCATTCGAAAATAAATGCAATAGTTGAATAGAAACAATATCTTTAAACGGGATCAACATGCTCAAAGGGTTGTTTGGGATCTGTGTGACTTGCCTTGCTGGCCTTGGAACTCTTCAAAATCTTCTCCTGCAAACTCACACTCTCCGAAAACGTCGGAACCTAAACAGAAAAGAGCAAAATCACCAAACAGCACACAAACCAGCATGAATAGTACATGTGGATATTTTTAACATGTAGATCTCTATTTTAGAAAAATTTAAAGACTTGAACCAACTAAATCCGAGCTAAGATGAATTAGTTATGAATTTTCAAAGATTAAATCGGATTAAATCATTTATTTAGATTTTAATTGAATTATGACGCAATAATGAATTATTTTTGAAAAGGAAAAGGGAATTATTGCGTCAGCGGCTAGGGTTCGTGGTGGACCGGGTGCACGGCGGCGGCTCACGGAAACAAACGGCCGAGATCGATCCTATCCAAAACGGACGGCCAAGATCCATCGGTCCACGACCGGGCCACGGGGAACGACGACGATGACGTCGGCGGTGACGTCACCACCGGCGGCGGCTCGGGCGCGCAAACTCGCCGGCGAACGATGGCGCGATGACACGAACGGAGGACACCAACACGTAGAGGGCGACGCGGCGAACTCACCGGTGACCAAAACAACGGCGGAAGATCAACGGACGGCGACGGCGTCGAGGAAGAAGCGGCGGCGACCTTCGGCTTGACGACGACGGCGATGCTCCGGTGACCTACGGCGACGGCGGAGAGGCAGACGAGGTCGGCGATGGCTTGGCGATCACGACGGGAGCCTTCCCGAGCGACGACGACGACGGGAGCGGCGGCGGCGCACGGCTGGAAGAACGGCGACGACGGCGGCGCTAGGCTACACGGTGGTAGGGCTCTACCGGCGACGAGAGGCGAAAGCGAGGGTGGCGGCGGGTAGCGGCGGGCTTGGGGGTCCTTTTATAGGGGCAAGGAGGCAGCGGCGAAGGCCCACGGCGACCGGCGACGCGAAGGAAAGTCTAGGGTTCGGAGGAGAGAGATCGATCCGAATCGAACTCGAATCCACGGATTTCCAAACGATTTTAGCCGACGATTCCAAAAGAGAAAAGGTAGAGGAGATCCCGAAGATCATTTCCCCTCTATTGATTTCACCGGAGAAGGAAAGGCGCGAGCGAATTTGGAAGGAGACGGCGGCGGCGCGGCGCTAGGGCTCGGGCGGCGGCGCGACGGCGTGAGGAGGACGACGAGTCCGACAGGTGGGACCCACCTGTCAGCGGCCGAGCGAGCGCGCAGGCGGGCGGCTGCGGGCGGACTGGCCGGCTTGGGCCGGGGAGAGGGAGAGAGAAGGTTTTGGGCCGACTTTCGGCCCAAAGCCAAAAGAGGATTTTAAAAACCTTTTTCAATTTAAATTATTCATTAAATGCAATTCTATTTATTAAAAATACTTCCTTAGCTCAAATAAATCCCAGAAAAATCTAGGAATTATAGAGTTAAGCAAAGTATTTAATGAAATTTTATCTGGCCCCATTTTTATATTGGAATTTATTAATTAAAATTAGATCTTCTCTCCTAGGCTTTTAAAATAAATTCTAATAATTCCAATTAAACAACAATTTATATATTTAGGATTTTTAGGGTGTGACAAACCTACCCCCTTAAATAGAATCTCGTCCTCGAGATTCGGAAGAACTGGCGAACAGATGCGGATGAGCTGACTTCAATTCATCTTCTCGTTCCCAAGTTGATTCTTCTTCCGAGTGATTACTCCATTGGACTTTGCAAAAACGGATAACTCGATTTCTGGTTCTTCTCTCATCTATTTCCAAGATACGGATTGGTTTCTCAACATAGGTTAGATCCTCTTGGACTTCTATCTGTTCAAGATTAGCTTCTTCGGTAGGTACCCTTAAACACTTTTTCAATTGCGACACATGGAACACATTATGGACTCCTGCCAAAGATTGAGGTAACTCCAACTGATAAGCAACCTCTCCTCTTCTACTGACAATCTTATAAGGTCCCACAAAACGCGGTGCCAATTTTCCTTTGGTGTGAAAACGATGAACTCCTCGAAGAGGCGTGACACGAAGGTACACATAATCTCCTTCGTCAAAACTTAGATCTCTACGACGATTGTCGGCATAACTCTTATGACGAGACTGGGCCACACGCAATCTTTCTTGAATGATTTTCACCTTTTCTTCTGCTTCCCTCAGGATATCCGTCCCGAAAACCTGACGTTCTCCTGTTTGATCCCACAAAAGCGGAGTGCGGCACTTCCGACCATACAGGGCTTCGTAAGGAGCCATCTGAAGACTAGCTTGATAACTGTTGTTGTACGAGAATTCTGCATAAGGTAGATTCTTATCCCAACTTCCACCGAAGTCTAAAGCACAAGCTCTTAACATGTCTTCCAAAATCTGATTTACCCTTTCGGTTTGTCCGTCTATCTGCGGATGATAAGCAGTACTAAAGTTCAGCTTAGAACCCATCTCTTCCTGAAGCTTCTTCCAAAACTTTGAAGTAAACTGACTGCCTCGATCAGACACTATTTTCTTAGGGACGCCATGCAAACACACAATCCTTGCCATAAACAATTCCGCCAACCGACTTCCGGAATAGGTTGTCTTTACTGGGATGAAATGAGCCACTTTGGTAAGTCTGTCAACTATCACCCAAATAGAGTCATGGCCTGATGACGTTCTGGGTAGACCAGTGATGAAATCCATACCGATTTCCTCCCTCTTCCATTCAGGAATCTTCAAAGGCTGCAGCAAACCTGCAGGTTTCTGATGTTCTGCCTTGACTCGCTAACAAACATCACATACTGCTACGTATTCTGCGATTTCACGCTTCATACTTGCCCACCAAAATCTTTCCTTGAGATCCTGGTACATCTTGGTACTACCAGGGTGAATGGAGTATAAAGTATCATGAGCTTCTTTCAGAATTGCATCTCTTAAATCTTTGTTGTCGGGGACACAGATTCTCTCGCCCAACCATACAGTTCCTTGCTCATCTTCCAAGAAACCGATAGCTTTTCCTCTTCTCATATTCTTCTTGATTTCTTGAATATCAGGATCATTAATTTGGGCTTCTCTAACTTGATCAATTAGAGTGGGCTTTGCTTCTAAGGCTGCAACGAAACCTCTACTGACAATTCCCAAATTTAATCTTTCAAATTCCTTGCATAACTCCAATGGCAACTATCGTCCTTCCGTAGCATTGCAATAGCCTTTCCTGCTAAGAGCATCTGCCACAACATTAGCCTTTCCCGGGTGATAATGAATTCCCATGTCATAATCCTTAATTAATTCCAACCATCTCCGTTGTCTCATGTTCAGATCTGGCTGAGTAAAGATGTACTTTAAACTCTTGTGATCGGTGTACACCTCTGTACGAGTACCGAAAAGATAATGACGCCAAATCTTCAACGCATGAACCACTGTAGCTAACTCAAGATCATGAGTAGGGTAGTTCTTCTCATGCGGACGTAACTGACGAGATGCATAGGCAACCACCTTCCCATCTTGCATCAGAACACAACCTAACCCAAGCTTGGATGCATCACAATACACTTGAAAACCCTTCTTTGGATCAGGCAAAATCAAAATAGGAGCTGATATTAAGCGATTCTTCAACTCTTGAAAACTCTGCTCACATTCTTCTGACCACTTGTACTTTACATCCTTTTGAAGTAATCGTGTCATGGGCTTAGCAATCTTGGAAAAATTCTCTATAAACCTCCG